GGAAACTATTTTAGAGAAATAGAGATACAATGCAGAGATATAAAGTTTAGCCGTAAATATATTTGTACTTGTCTCTGAAAACGATTCGTGTGAGAAAAGATTTATAGTAATTTTTACGGATTCTTGAGGACAGGGACCATACCTACTCTTGCTTCTCGCTGTGTTCCCATGCTCAGCACAGCGCTTGGCATATAATATACACTCAATAGATCTTTTTTAAATAAGCAAATGCAAGACAGATGTAACAACAGCTTTAGTAACATTTCTTTTAGAGGAATGCATATAATTTCCCATTACCTATTTTTGTGCTTCTGGTGAGTAATTTTGAAGGGAAATATTTTTTTTTTTCCTGGTCACCATGAAACGCCAGATAAGATGTTTCAGTTCAGTCTCAAGCCATAACATAAACACCCAATTAAGGCCATCACTTGACTCGGTGAAGGTCTGGAATTGTGCACCTGACTTGACTTAGAATGAGTGACATCTTCCAGGGTTGGTGATTGGAATGACTGGAATTTTCCAGGACAGGTTTGTTGCCAATACACAAAATAAGAGAGACTCTTCTGTCACAGCTCTTCTGGTAAATAACTGATGACAGGCCAGTTCAGGGAATTTTTAGTGTAACTGATACTATTTTGCACTCAATTGTTATTTCTATTTTCATGTGAGCAGAAATAAAACTATTTTATTTTTAATTTGACAAATTTAACCTGTAACATCAGAGCATATGCATTACCCCGGTAGCATGCATTTGGTCCTTCTGATTTTCCAGGCTAATGTAACTTGACTGTCCAACTTCAAAGCAAGGAAAGTTTAGGGACTAGCAGGTGAGAGCCCCAGCCCATCCAGCTCTGGTCTAGGGGTTTCCAGGTGCTTCAGAAGGACATGCTGATCTTCCTTCTCTCTGCCCTCTCACTCAGTTCCTCCTGGCCAGCCCTGAATCTTTGTGGCAGGGACCCTTCCTGAAGCAAGGCAAAGAAAAGGTTAGAAGGAAACTCCGATGGCCTTAAAGCCTATTTTGCTCAGAATGTGATCTGGGGACCCCTTGCCTCAAAGTCTCTAGGAGCAGGTTAAATACATTCAGTCCTGGACACCACCCCAGGTCTACTGAGTCAAAATCTCTGGGGGTGGTGTCTTGGGATCTGCATTTTTGGCAATATTGATTTTGAACAGTATCTAATGTGCACTGAGGTTTGAGAACATGTACTTTTTTCTGACAGGTGATTCTATGTAGGAAAGTCACCTGGCAAGAAGTAGGTATTTTGTGTCCTCCACAGTGCCTCCAGCCTTTGCCCCCACTCCTCGGGGGCCCCTGTGCTCCACTCACCAGCCCCGTCTGCCCTTAGGCGGAGCAGGTGTCCTGGCTGTGGCTCAGGACATCTGCCAGACATTTTCCGCCATCCCTGAACTTCCTGTTCTTCCCAGAAACGTTGGCACAGGCCAAGGACAGTCAGACAGTGGCGGAGGCGTGTGTCCAGTTGTCGGAGCTTGGACACTAGCCCCATGTGCAGACTGAGTCAGCCCTCTCTGCTGGGGAAAGGAGCAAGAAGTCTGGTGAGTCAGTGCTGCCAGTCGGCAGAGAGGGCGCCCAGTCGTGGGGTGGGCCATGGGGTGGTCAGGAGGGACCCCGCCTCTGGGGCGTGTCCCCCAGCTTCGAGGGCAGTGGCTTGGACCCTCTGCCTCGCTGCCTGATGCACAGACTTTATGTTCCTGGGGGCCCAAGCTGCCTTTTCTGCTTTTTGAGAAAAAAACTACTTATGAGAGCAGTGGGGACGTGTCCACTGTGAGGTCCGAGAGGACCCCAGAGGCACCTGCAAAGGCTTCAGCCCCCTCCTGGCTCCATCGGTTCTCTCCTCCTTCAGAGGCTCCACATAAACCGAGCGAGAGATTGAAGTCAGAATGATGCCCACTATGGCCATGCAGGTCTGATTCAAGCGCCCTGGATGGCAGCCTCCAAACAGACTGGTGGCGATGCCCCTCTCCAATTCTGGAGCCTCTCGTGTGGTCAAAACCACAAATTCCCCCCTTCTCTTAGTTGTTGCTACTTTGCTATTAGTAATGAATTACTCAGTGGATGCCAAAGCCTTTTACCCCAGGGGTGAGAAAAAGGGGTTAAAAAAAATTAGCATCCCAGAAAAGACTCCACTCTTTTCAAACTTCAGCGTTTAACACAGCAGTGTTAGGAGCCTGGTTAAGTGCTGGTTTGCTGAGCTTTACAGCCAATGGTTCTGATCCAGCAGGTCTGAGGTAGGGCCCAGAAATATGCATTTTAAATAAACAACTCAAGGAATTCAAGATGTAAAGTGCCTGTGGGTCCGCAGACTACACCTTGGGACACACTTGTCTAAATGCACATCAAGGAGTGAATACTTCCAGATTCGCTTAGAATGGTCACGGATGTGGGTGGTGGGGAGAGAGGAGTCCAATATTCCAAACGCCTTGGAAAGGGGCAGAGGGTAAACACAGGTGCAAAACAGGCATTTGCACAAGTTTGACAAGGGGTAAGCCTTGGCATTATGAAAGATACACGTACAGGAAATGAAATCACATCATTCTATTCGTCCTCCATATCAACTCGCCCCTCAGAACCGTGCACGACTCGACCTTGTTTGAGCTCAGCTGTGACCAGAGGCCCCAGAGGCCTCTTCATCGCCACCCATCCTGGCTTCCTCCTGCTGTGCTTTGAATATGAAGGTGACGCTGGAAGGGATTTGCTTTGAGAGTTGGGCCTGGGGGCCTGATTCCTGTCCAAACACACTCTCTTCTCCCCCAAGGAGGCGTCGGGACCAGCGACACACCATCTTTATGCATCGAAGTAAACTTCAGCTCTCACTCGTCAATTTGGAACAGGTCAAACCCTTCTTGCTCATTTTTAGGACTTTCTTCAGAGGTGGAAACGCTTACTGCTTTTGATCCTCAGGACATCAGGGTAAGAAAATTAACTCATCACGTGGCATTTTCAACTAGGTCATTCTGAAACAGTATTCAGCTTTTAAATTCGGAGGAGGGGTGACAGGTAATTCTTTAAAAGTCCCTCCTGGCTTTATATCATCACAGACCTGTGTGTATGCCAGGCCATTTGTATCCTTTATCTGAATCCTTAGCCTACACCCCAGACCGCACTATTTTCTCACGTCTTACCCTGTACTGCAACACCGTCCTCTACTCTCCTCCATGACCACCTGGTCATAGCAGATCCAGAAGACCCGGGATGTCACATCAAGTGAGTCTTCGAAAATGAGCGAAGGGTGACGTTATGCCATTGTGCTGGGTGATTTCATTCTTGATAGCAAGAGCGTCCTTACCACGTGCCAGGTACCGTTCGGAACGCTGTGCAAATATTAATTTATTTAATCCTCACAGAAGCCTGTGAGGTATATGAGTGGGGTGGTATTGTAAGTTCTCATCAGCGCGTTTTATGGATGAGGAAACTGAACGTAACAGGTTAAGTAAATCAGGCAGGCCATGCAGTTAGTGAGTGGTGGAGTAAGGATTTGAACTCCTCCTTTGTTCTGAGTCACTACCTATATTGTTTATCTAAGGAGGCAAAACCAAATCCAGGCCAAAAAGGCCTCAAAAAAAAAAAAATCCCAAATACCATTCTTTTTTAAAAATCCGTTTTCAAGGACATTTCAGAAAAGGAGACGGGATATGGCAACCTAATTTGAGACTGTCCTCAGTCTAAAGGCAGAGTCGTCTCACGGTTTTTATATGGTCTACGTATTCACTACTATATTCCAACAAACTGGCAGATTGCTAACAACGGCCCAGCACAACCACCAATTTTTATTCAGTGTGTGCCAGCAATGATCTCATTTAATGCGCTCCACATTGAAGGCCGCTTTAACCGCTTCTCTCCTAAATATTAACACACCGAAGAGAACCATCCTTCCACCATGACTTGTTCTCAGCACACTGTGTCCGGAGGACCAGGGAGAACACCTGCATCCACTCTGAGGCATGAGAGAGACGACATACCCTCACGGCCTGGATGACAACTCACCTTCCTGGTTCCCGCTAGAATCTACTTCTGTTTGGAGAAAAGCATTCACCTTAGGAGTTTTGAGCCTGTATCATAATTCTGGCTCCTCTACTAATGGTCCAGGGCCGGTAACAACCTCTCTTTTTTCAAAAAATTTTTTTAGTGTTTATTTATTTTTGAGAGACAGAGCATGAGCTAGGAGGTGGGGGAGCAGAGAGAGAGGGAGACACAGAATCCAAAGCAGGCTCCAGGCTCTGAGCTGTCAGCACAGAGCCCAACATGGGGCTTGAACTCACGAATTACGAGATCATGGCCGGAGCCTAAGTGTAAGGCTTAACTGACTGAGCCACCCAGGTGCTCCAGTTATAACCCCTCTGAATCTATTTCCTACCTTTCTCGTGTCTTGTTTTTGGGGTTTTTTTTTTTGGATCCAAATGAAATATTTATGAAAATGGATAAACCATAAAGTGCTAGAAAAGACCAGGTACTAGGGGCGCCTGGGTGGCTCAATCCGGAAAGCCTCCGATTTTGCCTCAGATCACGATCTCACAGTTTGTGGGTTCGAGTCCCAAGTCGGGCTTTGTGCTGACAGCTCAGAGTCTGGAGCCTGCCTGGGATCTGTGTCTCCCTCTCTTTCTGCCCCTCCCCCACTCATGCTCTGTCTCTGTCTCTCAAAAATAAGTAAACGTTAAAAAAAAGAAAAGATCATACAATATTAAAGATGATTTTAATAAATATGATACTTTTTACTCTGGCATATTTATGTAAAGGCCAGTGACTCTCTGCCACTTAATTTAAGGTTGACTGCTGCTTCCCCTCCTTCGCCGCCCTGGCAGACTTCTCCAGAGCGGTAACTATGTCTTATTCATCGTTGCCTCTTAAGACTGTCTGGCACATAGTAGGTAATCGATAAATGTTCCTTGAATGAATGAATAAATAAAAGACATTTTCAAAGGAATTTTGAAGGTTCCCATCTAGGATGAGAGGAGTCCGTGGAGGGAAGAGTCATTCACAATACCTGCTTCAACCACATGGTCCATCGTAGGGAACCTTTTGTACACAGCCGTGCTCACCGAGCGGAAGATGAGCAGGGACGTGAGATTCACATAGCGCATCAGGGTCCTTCTGAGCAGGCGCCCGTGTTCGTCGCTTCCGTGAACACTGCTGGAGATGAGGAACATCAGCCTGTCTGGCCAGGGCAGGTTCACAAACTGGTTCCACCATCGGTTCACTACCAGAGTAACATAAAACCCTGTAAAATAACAGGAAGCTATAAAGCAATTTCTTATAGCAGACATGTTGTTGACACTGATGCTTTTAGCAGAATTTCAGCCTCTTTAGGGATCGGGGTGTAAAAATATGTTGTTATCCATACTTATGACTTTGCCCTCCAAAAAAAAAAAAAATAAAAATGTAATTTGTGCCTGGCAATGTCATAGCACCCAGTAAGTGGGTGTTAGAATTCAAATATTGATGGCAAAAATGGGCAGTTAGTGAAGAGAAAGCTTGATTGTCTGATAGCAAATTATTACCTCAAACTTGTTTGGTGTTAATTTAGCGAAAGCAGCCCTGAGGGCAAACTTTATGGATGATTCTGGTTCTATTGCAAGCAGTGGCTTTTCAGGCATGCCTCTCAGCTTGGAAACACTCCCATGCAGAGTCATTGATGTCATCCGAACAGAGACAGTGTGGCTGCGTTCTGCGTGTGACCTATACTTACCAAGCACAAAGGTTACTGGAATTTGTTCAGCATATCTGTCACAGTAAATTGATAATTTTTCAAAGTAACGTTTTTGGGCTCCTGTAAGTAACAATCTGGAGCAAAAATAAAATGCACAGCCCTTTATGATATTATACTTCTGCACCTGCTTTGCAAGTGATATTCAGTGCAAACAATTAAGCACAAATAATTGTAATTTTTTTTAAGAAGCGATAATGCTTTTTTCTACCTAAGCTGATAGATCTCAAAAGCTTTTTAATTGTTGAATGTTTCAAGTACCAATGTTTTCAGTACATAAATGTTATTGGCCATTAGACAGTGGGATTTATTAACTTCCATTTACTTATATGTTTTTTAACTTTTATTTTTAAATACTTTATATTTTAAACTTTTGTATGATGAATACATTGGATTTAGAGCAAAATAACTCATTAAAGAGTCCAATTTTCCATTATTCATCAGGTATACTTTAAAAAAGGGTGTCTTGATTAAGTGAACTACAGTTGTTAAGTAATTATGAGGATTAAATTATAACCCTAACCTTGACATCTTGATCTTACGAGTATGCTACTTAGCACATTCTTGATTATATGTGTTGTACTTCAAAGGCTATTATAACCGTTTATTTTAAAACCTGCAATTATTTAAAATATAAAATAACACATAACAACAAGGAGTAAAAATTTTTATTCCTGCATTTGGTGGGTTTGTGTTTGCATAATACAAATATCAAAATTTATATTATGCATCTCACCAAAACCCATTTTCTGGTATGAACTTAGGCTAAACCTAAGTTCATTTAATGGAACTATTATTGATATTTATGTTACAGGGAGGGGATTTGCAGTCAGGAGAGACGTCCCAAGGCAGGGTAATCGTAATGGTCGAGATCTACAAGGAGAAGCAACGCAAAGAAATTTGCATAAATGAATGGTACAGCTGTTCCAAGGAAGGAAGAAATCCCTGGGAAATATCCATTACAACATATGTCAAAAGGTCTGTTTGAGTCAGTAGAATTTTGATAGAGGGAAGCAGAGGGATGATGGGGTAACAGCGAGCCACCAATCAGATTGCGCATGAAGAGCTGGTAGTGACAAAGGAGTTTGGGGTGCAGGATGGGCTTGGAGTTCCTGCCTCAGCTTTGAGGAGGTTTCAGAAATTCTTATTCAGCTTGTTCTTATTCAGCTGCACAGGCCTGTCAAGGTCATGCCAATGACAAGTCACAGCCATAACAGTTTCCGACACTCAAATAGAAATGGTCCAAGAGGATTTAAAGGCAGAAAGCACAGACCTTAAGGTCAGACAAAGCCAGGTTTGAATCCCAGATCTGCCACTTACAAATTTGGACTTGGAACATATTTTTAAATCTCTCTGAGCCTCAGTTTTCTCACTTGTAAATGGGGACAATAAAGCCTATGTGTTAGGAATGTTATGAGGATTAAAGAATATATCATATATAAAACCACTGAACATACAGTGTCATACTTTTTTGATAATAAAGTGGTGGTTATTATTAACAACTGGCCAAAGGAAAAAATATTTAGCTAATAGCTCCGTAGAAAGTTTACTAGCTAAAAAGTACTAAAATGGTGATTTTTGTCAAATTCACCCCAAAATAAAAAGAGGTATACTCAAAAGTAATGAAGTCTGGTTTTGTCTCATGATTTTTGCTAAGTATCATTATTTGCTTAGAATAGAATTTTAAGACTTAGGATGATTAGTAGACATGAGAATGATGCTATAATTTTCTACAGGTATGTTTGACTTTCTTGATAAATTCAACCTATCGTGGTTGGTATATCTTCAATCAAGATTAAGAAGATATTTTGACGAGATTTTATAGCTGAACTTTACAAAAATGAAGAATGACTTTCACGACTGATCATTGTTATAAATGTAAGCACTCTTTGGTCTTTAGCAAAAATACGTGCATACAATTTTGTGGGGTATAAGCAAGATATTGAAGCAAGAGTGGAGGCCCCATGGAGGATTTCTGGCCACGACGCAGCTGCTCTGAGTGCTATTCAGAGTGCTATTGCAGCAGTAGCAGCAATAAACTCACATTAGTAAAAATAAACTAATGAGACAATTCTTCTGAAACGTCATGTGTCTTCCACTATTTCGTATTCTGAAGCATTAGGTGATACAAAAATACATTGTCAAAATAACGTTGTACTTATAAGACACATCTGAAAAATTATTAGAGGTTTTTAAATAAAACCCCTGATGTCCCTTTACAGATATTTTGATATGCAGCAAAATAGCCCTTCCTATTCTATTTTTGACAATTATCAGCTGGCCAAATTACTCTCTCTCTTGGTCAAAGGGAGTCCTGTGGCTGCAAAGAAGAAGGTCGGTAAGAGCAATGATAATACGAAGTCGTTCATCAGTATGCGGGGGAGAAAGAACAAACTGAAGTACATAGAAAAGGTGGAAATACAGCCTCAAAAACCTTTAGCTTTTCTATTTTAAGTTTTAAATTCCCCCAGAGTAGAAATGTATGCAATAAGTTTTAATTAAAAAAAAACTAAACACAGATATCACATGTTTTCACTCCTACGTGGAATTTGAGAAACTTAACAGAGGACCGCAGGGAAAGGGAAGGAAAAATAAGTTACAAACAGAGGGGGAGGCAAACCGTAAGAGACTCTTAAGTACAGAGAACAAACTGAGGGTTGATGCAGGTGATGGTTGTGAAGGAGGGGAAAATGGGAGACAGGCATTGTGGAGGGCACTTGTTGGGACGGACACTGGATGTTGCATGTAAGCGATGAACCACCGGAAATCTACTCCCAAAGCCAGGACTACACCGTACACGCTGTATGTTAGCTAACTTGGCAATAAAGTATTTAAAAATAAATAAATACAAATAAAATAAAATTAGTTAAAAAAAAAAAACCTCATAAAGCTTCCCATTTGCACTACTGGTAACATTTTATTTAGACTATAATTTTAGTCACACAAGTATTTCCTCAACATGATTTTGCTCAAATTTTCTGTCGATCTGACGGGCTTAGGTTGTGATGGTATAAAGAATAAACATCTTTGGGGCGCCTGGGTGGCGCAGTCGGTTAAGCATCCGACTTCAGCCAGGTCACGATCTCGCGGTCCGTGAGTTCGAGCCCCGCGTCAGGCTCTGGGCTGATGGCTCAGAGCCTGGAGCCTGTTTCCGATTCTGTGTCTCCCTCTCTCTCTGCCCCTCCCCCGTTCACGCTCTGTCTCTCTCTGTCCCAAAAATAAATAAAAACGTTGAAAAAAAAAATTAAAAAAAAAAAAAAAGAATAAACATCTTCTGTTGTGAACATAATGTACCCCGCACTCAGAGGGTAAAAATAAAATAAATTCGTTTTCAGGCCGCGGCACCACCCTGGAGGAGATCTTGTCATTCCAGGCAAAAGAAAGGAAAGTCACCTGATAGACACCCTTCACGGACATGTCAATTATGTAGGCAGTGGCTATAAGCTGCCAAGTCACAAATTCAAACTATCAATGACATAGCTGAGAGAGGCACCGATGATTATTTGTTCGTGGCCTTTGCCACTCAAAATCACCACTGAGTGAGGAGTTAAGTAATAAATCTGCCATTTTATGCCTCCGGCAAAATCCTGGCAGGGTGCCTAGTATCACATTGTGATCAATTCACATGGGGCTGACATGAGGGCCACCTGGACATGATAGAGTCTACTTGAGATCCCTAAGCATGGGTTAAGTGTGGATTAAAATACCCTGAGATTGGGGCGCCTGGGTGGCGCAGTCGGTTGAGCGTCCGACTTCAGCCAGGTCACGATCTCGCGCGGTCCCTGAGTTTGAGCCCCGCGTCAGGCTCTGGGCTGATGGCTCGGAGCCTGGAGCCTGTTTCCGATTCTGTGTCTCCCTCTCTCTCTGCCCCTCCCCCATTCATGCTCTGTCTCTCTCTGTCCCAAAAAATAAATAAACGTTGAAAAAAAAATTTAAAAAAAAAAATAAATAAATAAAATACCCTGAGATGAAGAATGCAAGAGAGGATCATGCAAAAGAGGAGATTACATAAGGCAAAAGTCAGCGGCAACCCAAGGCTCAGATTTTTGAGACTGTATTCTTACATGATATTTGATGGCCGTTTAAGGAGACATGCAAAGGAAGGTACCTGTACACCAAACTTATTGCCGTGTAAAAAACAGCAAAGACAATAAATTCCCTGTACAGTAGTTTGTAGATGCTGCCTCTCCACTTGAGGAGTAACCTATGAAATCCAAAAAAAGTCGCATTTGCTACTTTACTGGAGTACGTGACAGTCATCTCGGATAGCTTTTCTATTTTTTTCTAGAAGAGCAAGAAGACAAAACACAAGTAAAAAGCAGTGCTTAAGATGGAGCATAAATCTGTGTCTCAAAGAAACCCAAGCCGGTCACCAGTCAACCATCTCCCCATTTTGCCTTTCTCTGTTTAAACCATTTGGAATTTGGAGATAACCAACGTCTCCATGTTAAATCTTTTAGTAGAAAAGGGGAGGAGAGTAGTCTCTGGAAAGAGTATTATTAGAACCCGGCTTAATTTATAAATATTATTTTCAGGTTTTATAGTCATGACTTAGTAATATTTGAACGAACGAATGAATATGATATATGAAATATGTTGTAGAATCACCCGTCATGTTATTTTCCTAACCCACGGGAAGATTCAGGGTACTGATACGCTATATTAATTGATATTTTCAAAGGCACTGGCCATAGTTACTGTTTGGGTCTTTATCTGCTACAGTATGTAAAGAAGTGTTTATTTCACCCTTAAATTTCATAAGGGGAACTTAATGGCTCTCTTCTGAGAACTCAGGAGATATTGTTGAAAAGAAGCAAGACTCTTAAGAGAATTTAATTGATGGGTCACTTTTGGTGGTTTTAGTTGGATGTGGGTATCTCTCTAGCGGAGCTGCAAGTGCACGGTTGACACTCTGTACATTTCAAAAGGCAGGGCCACAGGGATAGTATACAGAAGGTGCACTTCCCTTTGGAAGTCATGCGTAAAAGGCTTAGGGAGGTTCACTTTCTGTTTGGAGCCGACCAAAATAAGGCCATTATTTAGGGCTCTCTCCACGTGGATCTGTTCCACAGATACGGGTAGAATGAGAATTGGACCCCTATGCCTCGTTTCAGTGAGTTCTCTGGCATTCATTGCTTTTCAACAAGACATCAAACATTCAGGTTCTGAGACGGCCCCGAACTAATCTTTGTTTGAAAATCCTGCACCACCACTTTCTAACATGGAGCATATACAGAGAAAATGAAATTTCTCGGAAATCTTTCTTGTTTCAAAAGAACCTCTGAGGGGAGTCTTCCAGAGCTACTTAGATGGAAATTATGGAGGTCTGAGGTAGAAGTGGGCAGATTTCTCATATAAAGTAGCCTGCAACCCACATTTTATCTAAACGGGAAGATGTTCTGTCTTTCTTCAGAGGTGGGAAAACAATCCAATTCTAATTTGCCTAGTTTCCCTAAAGAAATAAAACTCTGGCACTATATTCACAAACTTAAGCCTTCAGCATCACTGATTTTAGTAAAGAAACCAGGACTTTTGGCGTAAGTAAGTGGCATTACGAGAGGACGGGAATCATGCCACAGCCAGTTTCATTTTTCCATTTTACCTTGTCTATCTGTGTAATGTGAGTACAGTCAAAACTGGGAGAGAGGAGCCTAATAAATTAACCACATTTTATAATTTGTTCTCGTGGGCGGCATCATTTTAAATAACAGTCCTCCACTTTTTTTTCGTTTAACCATCCACCCTTCTATTTCGGCTATCAGAAAAATTAAGATCAGACAGAGTAGAGATCAGAATTAAAATGCATAGATATACTCTCTGTGCACTAACCTATTTCTTTGGTTTCAAGTCTCCGACGGGAAAGAAACTCTTCCAATTTCAGGCTCCCCCTGAAGAGGTGCCTTCAGGTCGGTGTTGCGTTCGGCTCCGCTCTTCACTCACGCACAGTCAGATTTTCTTTCCTTCCCTGGCCACCGAGAAGACCCAGAGGGTGACAAGTACAGGAGTTAAATGTTTTTCCACTTGTGGAGGCCTGTTTATGCCAATTTGCCCACTGATGACAGTTATAGCCGGGAACAAACAGAAGCAACAGCTGCTGATGTAGCTTTTTCCTCATCTATAATTATAACTCCACCTGCCGCCCAAAGTACCCCTTTGAATGAGAAGTCGGAGGTGACGTGAAGGAGATTGGGCCATTGAAGTACGTTATTTTCATTTTGGTTCTACCCTGGGATCAAGGAAGAGAGATCCATTTTCCCCTACAAGGTTCTGAAGAGGCTCCACTGGTCAAAAAAGGGAATTAGGACAGTCTGTGTGTGCTTAAAATGAAGAATGAGCTGTTGTGAAGCCATAAACTGGGGCAGATAAGAATTTCCTTTCATTTGAGAGGTATTGAGAATGCTCTCCCATTAAAAGCAACAAGCATACGTGTTTCAGTGTGCGTGTGGGTGCACGTGTGCGCGCGCATTTTAGCAGAGCATAGAAAATTATTATGTGTGATGGCTTAGTGTAGCGGAAAATAACACCCTGATTCATTCATTACGTTTGTTATCCTTCCATGTCAGCTAAGAAAAATTGTAAATTATTCAAAATGACTTCCATAGTTTCCTTCTTGAAAGAGAGAGTTCATTGGTATTCTTTAGATAATGAAATAAATAATTTCAGGGTCAATTCCTGGGGACTTTGCAATCTTCTAAAGTAATGTGTGCACCCAGCATTGCAACTTAAGCTTAACTAAAATGACTACCAAAAAACCCCATATATTTTTGTGAGGAAAGAAGAGTAAAAACACACTCATTCTAAAATTGAGAATATATACATTTAAAAGGTGGTGTTTTTTTTACAGCAGTCTTAAGTTTTATATGCATTTGCCTGGTTTCTTTATCAAACTATAAGCACCTTAGAGCAAAGAGTTATAGTGTCTGATTTCTTGCCCCCATCCCTGTTCATAGTTCCAGCATGAAGCCCTGTGTATAACGGATATTCAATATGCATCTGTCGTTTGATTATCACCTTGTCACTATGATACTTCTGTCAGTACATTTGGGGGAATTTATGAACATTTTATTTATTTATTTATTTATTTATTTATTTATTTAAGTTTGTGAACATTTTGAAAGCACATATTTTCTATTTGGTTGCCGTGAAAAGTGGCTGGATAGACTTGACATTGCATTTATAAAGGTTTGCAAGACTAATCAATGTTATAGAGTTTGAGCAAATCTAAACCCAAGTGCTTATGAAATAGAAACGTGGGAGGTAGTTTTAAAAATTCTCACTTTTGGGGGCTCCTGGGTGGCTCAGTCAGTTAAGCAACCAACTCCTGATTTAGGTTCAGGCCATGATTTCACGGTTCATGAGAGCCCTGAGTCGGGCTCAGTGCTGACAGTGCAGAGCCTCCTTGGGATTCTCTCTCTCCCTTTCTCTCTGCCCCTCCCCGCCTCTCAAAATAAATAAACATTAAAAAAAAAAACCTCTCACGTTTGTGTCTCCTGTTGGATGTGTGGTTGGCCCTGAAACGTGGCATGATTCCCAGCAATCACGACTGCATAACTGGGGAGTCTGCCTCATCTTTGGGGCACTGTTGGCTGGTCTCACTTTTAAACAAGGTTAATGATGTTCATATTTCCCATCAGGCTCTTTTAAGGAATGACTAATTAATGGTTGAGAACGCATTCTAAATGCAAGTTAGTCAATAATGACTAGACTAAATGAACAAACTCTCATTATTGGGCTCTGAGTCTGGCGGCTATTTCTAACACATACCAAAAGATGCCATTCAGAAATGAACTCATTAGAGGGGACAAGCCACTATAGCTTATTTCAAAATATCCAAACAAATTGCAAAGTTAACTGTTTATATGATTTTTTGAAGAAAACTTTAAAGTCTCATGTTTAAAATAGACATATTCCAGATTCTGAAAGTAACATATGCTTATTAATAATTAAAACAACATATAGGGGCACCCAGGTGGCTCAGTTGGTTAAGCGGCCAACTTTGGCTGAGGTCATGATCTCACGGTTCGTGGGTCTGAGCCCTGTGTGTCTCTGTGCTGACAGCTCAGAGCCTGGAGCCTGCTTCAGATTCTATGTCTCCCTCTCTCTTTGCCCCTTCCCCATTCTCACTCTCTCTCTCAAAAATAAATAATAAAACATTAAAAAAAGTGAAAAAGCCCCACATTCATTTTAAACTCTTTTACTTGTATCATTGATGTGAGGAATCTTTGCTAAATTTCTTTTGAGTGCTTGGTTGAACATGGTCATGTGCACACAAAACTTTGCATTCAAATAAGTTCCAAGTTTTGCTCAGTCGGAAGAGCATGCGACTCTTGATCTTGGGGTTGTGATTTTGAGCCCCACGTTGGGTGCAGAGAATACTTACAAATAAATATGCAAAACCAGAAATTGTTGTATTTTGGAGAATTTTATTCCAACTCTCAGATTTTTGGACATTACTAGATGGAGAACAATGAATCATAAATGTTTTTGCACAGGAAAAGGGCTTGAAAAAAATCTGTGTTGTAGAAAGGGGAGTCTGTGAGAAGAGTGTGTGATGTATCTGAGTGGGCAGGGACTATAGAGAGGGAACCAGTTTGGAGTTATTGTGGCTGTTGGTAGTGGGGTGGTGGGTGAGTGCAATGCAAAAGGATGGTGAGATAAAGTCCAGAGGAAAACTACCACTGGGGGGAGAAAAAGGAGGGCCGACTGAAGGGGGAGCCAAAGGACGAAAGAGAAGTCTGATAGGACGCTTGCTTTGTTCATTGAGCCCGCTTGCTCATGAAGAATGAGAACCACATAATATTTCGGATTTGTTCAAATGACACAGTTCTTTGTAGGGCACCATGTAACTTTAAGATGTTTATCCTGCAAATAAAAACTTCTGATTAGAAAAAAAATGGATGCAAAGTAAAATCACAAAGAGGAGCTCATGTGTGCATCAACAGTCAAGTTGTTGAATTATGTTTGATTAGCTAATCTTCAGTTTTTCTGTTAATAATTCTGTTAATAATGATTCTTCTGGCACTTACTCATTTTGCTATATGTTGGATCTCTCTAGAAAAAAGACGGTAGTCAGTGCCAAGGCGCAAGAAAAATTCATACAGTAAACTTCCAGTTGAGAACATTCATTCATTCATTTTTCCCCCCACATCGGAATACCTTGGTTCAGTTGGTTTGAGAACCACTCACGGTGATATTTTTCCCTACGGACAATTTTTTTATTGGCTCAGTGGTACTGTAAGCCTCTTGGGAACACCTGCCTT